TATTGCTCTTTTAAAGGTTTTAGGTAAAAAAATATAATTGCGTCAAACAATGTTAAATACATAAAACTTGTAAATACCCGTAAAAATAAATGTTTATTTCATAATACCTAATATTCCTATATTTATTCCTAATTTATTCAAATACTGTAATATGAATGAATATTACAGTAAAACAGTAAACACACAAAAGTGCCAATCACGCCAATTTCGAGATCTTGCGGTATTGATATTCATAAACTCGCTAGATCTCGCCCGAGTCCCAATCTCGCGAGATTGCATTCGGATTCGGAGAATGGTATTAAACAATTTTGTTTACGTACCTAGGGTACAGATATTTATCTGGTCACGACAAGTGTACCCCTGTTTGGCAAACAAATGTAACTTCACGTCAGATATTTTGTTTATATAGACCGAAGTGTACCTACATCAAGTAAAAAAACCGTCGTCGGCATATTTCCTAAGAGAAACTTGCCCTGCAGTAGCACAACTAAAAAATAGACTTAATTCAATTATGTTCGAGGCGTCTATTTTACATAAAAAGTATTTTTGTACCTAAACGAATTATAATTTATGGTATTCGTTATAATTTCATCGATTAAAGCTAAGAAAAAAAAAACACCAGATTAACAACCATATATTTATTTTAAATTTTATTTGAACAAACATCTTGTAAGACAGATTATGTACCTAAGTGACTTATAATCAAAGGCACTAAATATTGTCCAAAGGTTTATATAAAAATTGTATATTCTAATTAAATGTGTTGGATGGTCTAAAGTGTTTATTATTGTAATTAATACATTATAAAAACACATTCTTCATCTAGTCTTAAAATTGACATTCAAACAAAATATACAAATCACAATTATAAATAAAAGTCGAAACAAATTAAACGGAAAAGTGCATGGACATTTTATTAGACACAATCAAAAATAGTATAATTAACTCAATATGGCAAATACAATACATTATCCTTTTTAATATCCTTGGGTTACTCAAGAACAGGAGAATTTAAGATGTCCGACGAAAAGATAGATAAAAACATTTAACAACAGTATAATTTGTCTCGCAGCTCTCACAACAATATATAATTATTTTAATATACATTAAAATTTTTCTCCCTTGTCACATCTTAACTCAATCTCAAACAAATAATAAAAACATTTTCAATTAGTTTCTCTATGTAAATATCTACCTTAATACTCTATACTAGATTTAAAATGTTATAAAAAATATCTATCACACCAATAACTAGCAGCACATTATAATCAACCGGAAACTAACAAATCTTTAAAAAATATGTTAATATTAAACTTTTTAGAAGCTATCATTCTCAAGAATATGTAGCAGAAATAATGTATTTCGGTTTTCAAAATCACTGCCACAACCAAAATAGCTGCAGTAACCAATTATATTGTACCACTTTAAAATCCCCGCAAATTGATAATGCATCTGGCCGTCATTTTGATGATGCGTTTAAAAAGTCAGTACCGTTCAGAAATAACTCAAGAGTTAGCTTGTGTTGAGATCGCACATCATATTTGTTACGTTTTTTGTTAGTTTCGATTGTTATTGTTAAGTTTTATTTTTACTTGTTATGGTTGACTAAAATAGCAACTACTATAACGATTTTCACAATAAGTAAAAAAAAACACTAATAATAAATATATCCGATGTCTCTTCATTTCTTTATTACTTTTGGTAGTTTGAAAAAAGTCTTCCGTTTGTTATTGCGTAACTACAAGGTAAATGTTTATTTTTTATTATTTTCCATATGCCTCAATATTCAAATATAAATTATTTTCTGAAAATTCATGCAATAAATAACAAACTAAAAGTTATTTTTTTTAATAATTACAACAATATTTTGGGGTTTATTTATAAATATTTCAATAAATTCATTAATGATTTATCTCTCGCCTTTTGTGCTATCTATACTTTCTATTTTTATATGGCGTCACGAGGGTGTTATTAGACAAGGTTCCAGCGCATTAGTAATTTACGGGACTTATACCCGGGCGATTCATTGGCACGGATTTACGAAACGATGGCGTTGGGTTGTGTCGTGATCAAAAAGTGAACCATATTGACACGATATCTATATCAGTTTAATGCGCAAAATTCCTAAGACTTGCTTTTCATATTTTAGTTAAGGTTCCATACCTCAACGAGGACACTTTACATAAATGTCCAATCTATGCGTCGATATAGCAAATCTATGTGTAGAGTCTTATTCTCGGAAACACGTGGAGGTATCAAGATTATTTAAATATTTTTACTTACTTAAGTAAAAATTGAACTTACAGTACACCGTAGACTCCATGAAACTATAAGTATCATGTATAATAGGGGATCGAACAACTTTCAAAAACTGTTTTAAATTAATCAGTATGGATGCTTATTCCCACAAAAAATATTATTTTATGTAAATAAGCCTTATTATGTACCCAAAACTATGTTTAAAACTTAACTGTTTAAGAAAATCACGTAAAAATGAATTATCATATGCTGCGTTTTATATTCAGACTCATAAATGAATAAAACACAAATATGACCTTTGTTACTTGTTAAAAAATCAATATATCATTCAAATTGTTTTATACCTTAAATGTTTCCCGCGCTTTTCCTACAATACCAATGTTAATGTTTGCAAACACAATGTTTTGTTGTCCAATCCCCTATTTAAAATATATTATACCTAACTCACATAAAACATTTAGACATAGGCATAACTTTTATGATATTTATATTTTAGGTACTCTTAAAAAACAAAATTAACTAAAATATAACAATGTTATCTTTTTAAAAAGATAAAGGTACTTACTTACCTATGTCAGTGGTGTTTTATTATGTACAACTAGAACCACTGGATACAACTTGCTGCGTAAAAACAGTTACAGATTATTACCACTTAAACGCATAGTAAGCACTAATTCAAAGTTATATAGAGAAAACGATAGAAGCGAACGAAGTGCTTAGTGTAAGTTTTTTGACGTTTACGTTCACTGTCGATCGTGAGCGCGTTAAGATTTTAGTATGGAATCCGGTACGGCGCCCCTAGCGGTAACTATCAAGAACTACAATTCTGCATACAAATTCTTAACGCGCTCACTAGTGAACGCGTTAGCGTAAAACTCACAGTTACCACTCTGAGTCGTTTCTGATTTTCACAATCTTTTATTTAACTTGCACTGTATAAACACATGGATGCAGATCAGGTTATCACAACCTGTCAATTTTCTACAGTTTTACCTTTAACAAATTAAAGTTTAAAATCGACTGGAATTCGACAGATTTGTATAACCTGACGTACTGTTGATTGTACATACATTATTTAGGTACCTACTTTATGAAAATATTTATCATATTTATGAATGTACATGTTTCAATATGAAGACATATACGCGACTCCATTACGTCATATGTTGCAAAATCAACCAATGCCATTGACACAAGAATAGGAACAGATTATATTAATCAGTAAGACAATTAAATAGTAAGGTGGATGGACCATGGAAGGCCATGCCAAGTATAAAAAATTCATAGTTATTGTCATATGATGACAAATTCCTTCCACTCACACTAAGCTCTATCAAACTAATGGATAAGAAGCGGCAAGTCGCTTGTGTCGCTATTTTGATGGTGAGGTCCCTCGTTTCCTAAACTTCGGCCGTCGATATTAAAACTGTAATTCTTGCACACAGCGAAAGATAGTTCTTCATATATATAACCTACCTATTATTATATTATTGTATTTTTTGTTTTGTAAATCATCATATAAGGATTTCATATTACTAAATAATCTTCGTTTGGATGTTTGTCCGTCAATCACGCCGAAACTACTGAATGGGTTTTGATGAAATTTATAAAGATAGGGTATTAGCTAACTTAGATTATAGGATACAATTTTATAACCTAGTAAACATACCCCTAGGGACCACGCGGGCGAAGCCGCTGGTGAAAGCTAGTAAATAATGAGTTTGATTCGATTCAGTTAAAATATCGTAGACCTATAAAAGCCGGTAGTTCCTTATAATGCTAATGAAAAAATTGACCAGGCCCGTGTCCTTGCTAGGGTACCTGGATCTTACAACAAACATTTGCAAATCATAGAAATATGAACACTTTGTTTCTAGTTATAAATATGTAATAGAAAAGTTACTATATTATTAAAAATTATTTGATAAAGGATATATCCACAATAATTGAACAGATGATTAGATGTCAACAAACAAAAAATCAAATCTTTTACCCTTTATAATATTAGTATAGATTAAAAAAGTCAAATAATAATTGTTCGTTTGGCTTGCTTAGGAAAAATGTACCTTTTAAAGAACGGACCCATTAGAAGGCCATTATATATGTCAATTTTTTTTATAATTTTATTCTTAAACGCATTAGCAATTTATTTGTTAACGATAATATATTATTAGTTTAACGACTGTGGAATGTTTGTTAAACTTTTTAAAGAAAATTATAATATGCTTTTAATCCTTCGTTTAAATAAAAGAACTTTGTATGTATTTTTACAAATAGAGGATATTTTGATTATCACAACTCTAGTTTTAAGTTGAGCGACTGATTTATCATATTGGCCTTGCACGGAGCCCTGTTTCTTGCAAATCAGTTTAGAAAAGTTTAATAAAAGTAATATTTACTTTGTAGTGATGACATCTATGATAAAAAAACGATTCTAAGTTACACAATACAACAAAGTGTTACTTAATAATAAGTTGCTTTCATTAACCCGTAAATGAACTAAGAAAAACTGTTTATTCGTTAGTGTGGCTATCCACGGTCCACCCACCTTGTAGTATGAAATAGAATCTCCTTCACCATTCCCATGGAAGGCCTGAGCCCCTGCAGTGGGGACTTAAAAAGGCCGATGATGATGATGAGTATGAAATAGAAATAATATTAAAACAATAGTGGACGATTACATAAAATGAATAAAAAAATAGTAGGTTCAAGTATAAAAACAGTAAAGAATGTCATCCTACAAAAATGAAGCTATAGTAGCTTCTCCTCTGTACATCGAAATCGTACATACAGAACCATGACGAAGTGAAAAAAAAAACTTTCATAGTTTGATATAAATATAGGTAATACATATAAAGAGCTATATAAAAATTACCCAGTTCACGGTACACATCAGAAATATCAAGGTGTATAGTTTTGCTCTCTTAAAACATCGTGGACCATAGTTCTCAGAGAATTCGGCTTGCAATATTCTTCCAGCCAATTGAATACACCAGCTGAAAAGTCTGCAAAGTTGTTTGTAGGCACCGTTTCAAATGACTCAAAAAGCTTATCCATTATACCCTGAAACTAAACATAAAAGTGATTTATTAGGAGGATGAAGAGATTGAAACTTTAAAGGGGGATCGCAATAAAGGGGCCTTACTCCCTAACTGAAAGCCAGCACGATAGCTAAAAGGAAATTTTTTATCAATAATTTTGTTTATTTGTCGATGACTTGTATATTACTTGGTACTTGACCTCCAATTTTGTGTAACATAAATTTAGCTTCCTTATTATAAAAATGCAGGTTATTTTGAATTCACTATGTGGTTATGACAGAATAACAGAGGCTGTGGGTGCACTCACCGTCACTGAGTCATAAACCGTTTTTGTCTCATTTTCTATTACTTTAGACTTAAAACTATATTCATTATGTAAAGGTATCTGAGATGAATAAATGATTTTATTATTATTATTATTTAAGTTTTACATTGGCCTGAACATTACAGCGTAACATCTAATGGAATCATATAAGAATCTTTTGTTCTAACATACTTATTGACTGACAAGAAGTCACAGCTTAAACCGCTGATCGTAAGCACTTCAAATGTAAAAGGTACATCTATCAAATGATGTAGGCATTTGTTAAGAATGGAAGGAAATTTCTCTCAGAGGACAAAAAAAACGCTGACTACGTTTATTTGAAAGTACGTTTATTTACTAAATGGTCTACACTTACTAATTACACTTGAAGTTTAGGCAAATGGTATGCCTCTGGAAAAATTAATACGCTGAATATTTTAATGCAAATATAAATAATAAATCTAAAATAAGTTTGGAATTCATATGGAAACTTACTGCCTGTATCACCGCCACCTTTAAATGTATCGCTTTTATCTTATAGAACAATACAGGAAAATATAAATAAATCATAACATGACACTTTTTTGAGTCAGTAGATGCCATTTATAAAAGGAATGATATTTTCTGTCACACAAAGTATAAAATTGTCACAAATTTTTTATCTTCAAATAAATAGAGTTTATTTATTACTAATATTCAAATGTATGAAATGTTTAAAAAAACCACCAGCCCCAGGTACCAAGGTGACCACTAGTAGCAATAAAAAGTTTGAAACAAGACATTTATTTTATAGCAATAGCTATATTATAATAGAGATGACCAAAGGGCAACGTAGTCGTACGCCACTGATCATAACAAAACAAACTGTTGTGACATACGACTACGCTGTCCTTTGGTCATCGCTATAAAATAAACTTCTTGTTGTAAACTTTTTAGAGCGTGATTTAGCTGTATTCGAGTTTTGGTTTTAGAACTTTTTTTTATTTTATTAATTTAGGGTGTATTTAAGCAAATTTGCAAGCAAAAGCTATCAATATATATTTGAAATGTGCTAATTAAGCCCTTTCATATTAACCCTACGTAGAATGATTGAATAATATATTTTTTAGTTTCTTATTTTATGCGCTCTAAAGAGCACTGTTGCCAATTTATTGTAACGTCACATAGCCTGTAGCACGCGGACAACTAAGACGCTTCTAATGATACCTCATTTGTTCAGTTACGATGAGTAGTTTCGAAAAGAACAGACGAATATTCTTACATAGATACATACATATGTGCAAAAATCATAACCCTCCTTTTCGCTTCCCCGTAGTCAGGTAAAAAGTAACAAATACTTGAAAAATTCGTCAGTCCTGTTTTGTCTAGAGTAGCTCAATGGTTAGAGCAGTTGCACGTATTGCAAAAGGCTGTGGGTTCGGGTCACACCTTAGATTACCTAGGGCTGATGAAATTTTTTATTGAAGATATTTTAAGTATCAATGGGAATGCAAAATTGATTAAATATAATATCAAATTATTATTAAATATCAAAGTAGTATTATTTATCTGCGAATCAAAAAACAAATAATATATCCCAAAGCTTCTTCTTTTACTTATATTTAAAACACTACCTACACCACGTACAATCGACCGAAAAAACGTCTCAGTGCGGAAAATAGGAAGAGTCCTACCTACCTAAACTTAACACTGTCTAGTTCTACGAGCTACATCTAAAGCTACTTTGCCAAATTTTGTTGGATAACGCTTTATTAGTATCATGATACTCAGGAGTTAATATAAGTAAATATCGTTGGAGCAACCGAAGAAACCGAGATAATCGCGAGACACTGATTTCTCTAACCTTTAACCTTAAATAAATCACGACGCAGACATATTTTTTAAAAATAACATTGTATATTAATCCTCTTCGAACGCGCCGAAAAAAGGTGAAGAATTATTTCTGTGACAAATTAATAATTGCACATCAGCCCTCCGATTCTGTAAAACTTCAAACCCGAATTCGAATCCACTCAGGTGTCCGAATTCACTTCAAAAAGCGGCATCCGCTCAAACTTGAATTGGTAATAATGTTTCGTGACATAGGTGAAGTGAGTTTTGAAATGATATAGAATTAAAATATCTAAGACACGTTTAATCAATCAATTTTGTTTAGTATTTTTATACAAAAAATGGAATCAATAGGATTTCTTTACTAAATGACGAGAATTCGGACACATGAGTGAATTCGAATTCGGGTTTGAAGTTTTAAAGAATCGCAGGGCTGTACGCGCTGAATCTTCAGAATTTTGAATTCACCTGTCATTCACATTGCTGAGTATTCGCTGGATGCGAAGTACTAGGTCTATCGCAACGCTCGTGGTGGCTTAAAGTAGAGCTCTGTCATCTGTCATACCATACTATGAACTACTATTACTTTCTACTGAATCAATGTTAATACTGTTTATTAAGATTTAAAATTAAATAAAAGAAATCTATTTAGCTTTTTTATTTTTATTTAAATCTAAAAAATATTTTTATGGAAATTAATAAAAGAATGAATGAACTGGGCTGAAAAAGAAAAATTCAAAATATATTTATATTTTGAATTTTTCTCTATGATAATTTTTTTTTTATCAACCCTACATAACATTACATTATATTTTAAGGTTAAATAACATTCAATTATTTAAATTATTATTATTTTTTTTAATTATAATTATTTATACTTGTACAAAGTATTTTTAAAATACTTCACTCACTCTTTTATTCATCTGCTTTTAATTATGAAAATAAAATCATACTAATTATGAGTTCTAACGGAGTTTAATTAATTACTTTAAACAACATGGATATTGTAAGGTATCAAAGTTTTTATTTTATATTGTGAGTGATAAACGTAAACCCGGTTTTCGGAATAATTATTATACTCTTTATTGCACTCAAAATTTTACATAAAAACAAGTAAATAAATGCAAAAAATATCCATATCTATCCGTAAAACATTTCCTATTTTTTAATTAAATTGTTGAAGACTCATACATTATTTATTTAACATTAAAATTGCAACTGAAATTGAGGGTATAAGCTGATTTAGATTATAGGATAATTTTTATACCACTGAACATTTTCTTAGAGCCCCCGCAGGCGTAGCCGCTGGCAAAAGCTAGTTTTAAATAAACCAATGTCAGGCAACTAATTACATGGGATACTAATGTCGCTACAGCCATAATTTCAATAACCATAGTTTCATAGATATAATAATCTGACTGAAATATACAAAAGCACAAAGAATGACACTTCTCGATAAATTTTAAAATAACGCATAAGAATATTACACTTATTATATCACATTAATTATATATTATGAAATATATAGGACACATTTCAACTTACCACTTGAAATTTGTCTTGATCAGTTAGCCTCTGCTCATTGTGACCAGGGACTGAATGTTGTGCTTTCACAATCTGCTCATAGTTAGCCTGCATTATGCGAAGAGCCACAACATCTTTGCGTAATGCATTTCTCTCCTCTTCTTGTCGTCGGCGTTGTTGCAGCAAGTATTGAATGTAGTCTATTGATTTTTGAAGTACCTAATGTTTAAACTTAATTAATTCACAGTTTGTTTATTTTTTCCATGATAGGAATGAGATATAGCAACCTAAGAACTCACATATAGTTGCATTTTTACATTTTAATTATGCTGTTTATTTACTAGGGATCTATGGATCCAATAATGTTTGGAAACGCTATTAAAGGATCCAAGTTTCGAGCATATTAACTCTTATTTTGGGATTTACCCTTTTTTTTAATGTCATATTGAATGTACTTGTGAAGAATCTCATTTAGAAAAAGAAAAGCTTTGTCACCCCCCAATAGACAATAGCTAGCAAATAAATAAGATTTTTGAATGCATATTTATGTCATTGCACATTAACATTTTAAAGCAAATAAAAAGAGACCATTTTAAGACCTGGGGTATTAAAGCATACAGTCATCACTTCCCCATTGTCTGTGGTTTATGGAATACACTGAAATAGATTTGACATTATTTCTTTTTGGATCGGGTTGTATTCTATAGAATGATTTTGAATTGATATAGTAAAAAGATTCACCAATATGCAGTGTAGTATTCTCAGAATGCAGGGTTTAGGAGAAAATACTTATTAAATTTAATGACATAGAGCCATGTAACTGATTCATCATGCATCTATGTACTGAAGAAGCAAAATTATTGTAAAATCTATTGAGTGGATTCAATACTTACTGCTGCTTTACTGGGTTTATAACCTGTGGCATCAGTTTGCTGGCAAGTGGGCACTAGTTCTTGTAGGGAATCATATCCTTTCTTTATAGCATCTCTTCGTTTTTGTTCAGCCTATGAAATACAAAATAACTTGTTTGTATCATTACAAATCTCATTTTCAAATAGAATCTGGTTATAGAGCAAAGAAACATTGGAATGAACTCTTAATGAATGAAATGAGTTTCAATATAAAAACCCTCACCAGCATGCTTACTCTCAAATACAATCGCTATCAATCAACAATGCAATTGTGTGGTTTCAGTACACAAGCGTCAATTGGCTCAATATTATGTGATTATTGAATGAACTTATTGATATTTAGTAAGTATTGAGTCTATGTTTGAAGATTAAAATTTTACCAAAATTAAGATCATTCAAGGGTAAGGTTCCAGGTCTTTGTATTTTATTTATATTTTCTAATTACATATGATAACATATTATAACCTGTGTGTGAGCTTCTCTTCTTCTTTCCTTAAAGCTAAGGGCGGATGCTTTATTATCACCACTGTCATCTTCATCTTCTATAAAGTGTTAGACAATTATAAAACACTGATAATTTAGAACACAAAATGGTTGTTGTTTAAGAACCATTATAATGTATATCCTATCGAGGTAACTAAAATATTTTGAGAAAAAATCGTGATCTAACAAAAGTCAATAATAAATAACATTTAACATAAGTCTTTCTGAAATTCATTATTTTTATATAGTCAAGTAATTTATTGCGCATTTATTGAAAACGTAAATCATTGACTTCGCAATTACTTTTTTGGTTATTATTGTCATCTTATTGACAATGGGTAAATAAATATGTAATCAACACCTGTATTTTGGTTGGAAGATGATGGAGTTTGGTGTATATTCTGGATAGAACCACTACTTCCACAACGAGAGTACATGCTGTGTCATAAAACACTAACTATATCACTTAAAATAATTAGAACCGTATTGTATTTTGGTCGCAAATCTCAAGATTTATTTTCCATGACGTCTCTTCACTTTTACTCTTTGCGTCTCTCTCTTTTGGCTTGCTTGACGCTTGACGTCTGTCTTTTAGGTTTCTTTATAAGCTGTCAGTCAGTTGACGTTGACAATTAATATTGCCAACCAACTATAATTTAGACCCAAGCTTAGTTACACTAAGTGGCCTAGGATGAAGCAGACTCAAAAAATATTAAATAAGATAGTTGCTATATGAAAAAATATATATATAGCACTCGACTGACTACGGATTACTGATTTATTATAAATTAATTACAGAATAGTATTATTGATTAAAAACAGAATTTTCTTATTCTGCATTTTCTACATGTCCGAACTAACGGAGCATTATTTTGTTGATTTTTATACTGTTGCTCTCTGTCAACTTTCTTTCTTATCTCTTCATTCCGAATGCGGTCGCAAGCGTTACTCTGCAAATTCTACGTAACGAATGCTTCGCAACTGCATTTATTCTACTTACATGCTCTCCAACAAAAAATATTATAATAATGAGGAATTATTTTAAGAAAAAAAAGAAAGCACTAAATAGGCACCTCACTAGATGGCGACTCTAGCAAAAGTTGATTTTTGCAGGATACGAATGGACCAAAGACAGCCATTTCCGTTCCCTTTTAACTTCGAAACTAAGATATCAATACAAATACAATAAAGTACAAATAAAATATAATTAGTATATTGAGTTTTAAAAATTAAATTACTTATATACATGAAAGAAAACCGGAAGGGTTGTAATGGAGAAATCACGAAAGTACCGTGGCGACATCTAGTTTGATTTTGAGAACTAATAGTTTTTTTAAATACTTCATCATTGTAGGGGTAAACTACACAAAAATGATAATTGATAATGATACAGATAGATAACTAATAGCATGTGATAATAATTGTTAAATGCGATGATATAGATGATAGACGAAAGGGTTAAATAATTACAACAACCGATTCAGCCGAAAGCGTAATAAGCACTGATTTTATTATAAACAAATTACAATAGTTGACGTAATCCAACATGACTTGTACAACAATTAATTATAAAATAAGAAATAATAATTTAACACTTGTTTTATCTACACATAAAACAACTCTTTATTTTTAACTAACTTTCTTTATTTCTAACTTTGTGTTTCTTACATTTAAATTTATAAAAAAAAAAAATTAGTTAGTTTAATCATAATTACCTTTTAGGAATACACAAACATATAATTGAACGACATTAGAAATTACTATTTAGTACTTTGTATCATTGCATACTTAATTCGATATCATACTTTTTAATACGCAGTCATTACCATCAATCTTTTCTTTATAATAATATAAGTAAAAATAATATGTACTGAAAATGAACACAAATACATGAATATGTGGGATCATGGAATTAAATAGTAACATTTCGTACGATTACATTATCAATTCAATACTACACTTATTAATTACAGTCATCATCATTTTATAAGTATTTCTTTATAAATCAAAATAATACGTATAACTATATTAATAACAGGCTTATAGCCATCATAACACATTAAACTTCCCTAGTTGGTTGCAAACTCCATCTTCAATGCTTCAATGCTCAAAATCAAGTGGAGAAATCCGACAAACCCGCAACGTTCAACGTGCTGTTGACTGTACTTGTCCAGTAGTACAGCTTGAAGATTCAGGATTATTATATAAATGAATTTCAAACACAGATGTCACTCTGTTGTGAAATGGAGTCCAAAAAGTGTTATCATTTCCGAAATAACTATTATTATCACGCTATCATTACTACTGTAATATCAGACATATTATATTATTCTTGTTACTTTTATTTGAATTATAGGAATAATAATTATACTTATAGGTAATCACATTTTGTATCTCATTTCAAAATGTTATCCTAAATATCAATAAAATAACTAACGATAACAAAACATTTAGCACATAACTTTATTATGTAGAGCGATTTTGACTTCTTGATTGCAAACTACAATGTACATACATATATTTACATATTGACACATATGTATATTGGTTGATGATCAATTACTAAAGTAATCGACCGAAATCAACAAATAGCACTTGCCCTTTTTTGGTTTTTGAACTAAATGAACAGTATTTACTGTATGAAATTGGATACTCGTATTATTATTAGAGTATAATTCACCTTTATAGTTTCCCTAGGTGCTTTATGGTGCGAGTATTCTGAGCTGATTTGAGCATTATTAAAAATCAGAAATTTTGTCAGGTACATAATAGTGCTGTGTCATAACTTTACCTTACCTTTTAGAAATCTTAGAATCTAACAACTCACAAGGTGACATAAGGTAACTGATGTCAACTTTGGCATCAGTTACATTTTCTCACCTTATATGATTCAATAAACATGGTTATATTTCAAATACTTTTGTGAATACTTATTAGCTATTCCGAATGAGGATCCGATAGAATGTTTTATTTTTTTTACATCCTTGTATGCCTATCGTATCATTGCAACCCAAATTCTGGCCACATCGATAATAATTATTTAACACATCGATATGCGTTAGGATTTGTGCAGTCATAGTCTTGCAGTTGTACCCACCATCATATATTATATAATTATCGTTGACCGCAATACATTACAATCTTTAAATCTATAAGGGTGTACGTCATTATATTAGAAAATGCTAACTTTCACAATAGAAACCTAACAGCCATGCAATACCCGACATGTTGTTGACTAGGAATGGGCTAATGGGAAAAAACCGATATATATCGTATCCATATTTTACAAATATATCGATAAATATTGTCAAAAATTTATCGATATATTCATATATCGATATTTTCTGCGTAATAAGCGATTATCAATAAAAATTAATAAAATATTCGAAATTTTTAAATAGGTACATAAAACCAAGAAAACGACATCATTAACACAACAAAAATTACATTATTCAAACAAAACAGTATTTGTCTGATATTAAAATCAAGAGCACTCTCAGCTCAATCAACCAACAAGCAGTGTCATTGTCATAAAGAAACAAAAAAGATAAGCAGGTCATAGACTGTAATTTCTTAACTCATACAGTCTATTGTATACTGCCTTTTTAAATTATAGAAATTCATAATGCGACGTATGAGTAGACAGCAGAACTTTAAAAAAATATATCGATTATGATACGAATTTGATATCTAAAAATAAATATTGAAAGCCAATATATCGAGGGAAAAAATATCGCTGATTTATATCGATTTTTTCAGAAAAACATAGATATTTTGATATATCGATAGTTTTTGCGCAATCCTATTGTTGACTGTACACCAACAAGACGAGTTACATGGATATCAAGTAGGTATATTATTGGAGATATAAAATACTAGCTGATGATAATGCATCTTTAAATTCATTCATATGTATCAAGTATACTAGGTTTTCGTACAAAATCACATGACTTCTGGCTGAATTCTGCGCTCCGCTTTTTGTTCTTGATTCCACGAATCGAGTCAATTGTTGTTACGAGCAACTAATAAGCTGGCTCATCACTAATGTTGACATATAAACCAAACATAGTTCCTTTACATGTAATATAATAAATAACTCAAACTTACGATTTAAATAAATTAAATTACTTTGAAAGTTATATATTATAAGAAAAACGAAACATTGTTATATTTATTAATTTTCGATAATCAAATTACTTTTATTACGTCAGAAACAGAGCTGATATCAAGTTTGAAGAATACTTCCTCATTGACATTTAGATCCTATAATTTGTGCTGCCATTTAGTGAGATAAGTTATTTTTTTTTGATAATGGAATGAAATAATGATATTATTTTAATATTTACTTTTCAACAAACTTAACCATGGGACTTATGAGATTCGAAAAAAACTTTGTAAACATGGGTTGTTTCGTGGGCTACGAAAAATAAATAGTTTATGCCGGTGTCTTTTAGTCATTCGTTCTGTCAACCATCTTTCTGATAAATGTGATCGCAATGTATTTGAAAACCAATCTAGCAGGCTCAAAAAACTAGTGAATTTTCAAACATTGATGCCCGTATTACATTCTCTATGATGCTGACATGCCGGCTGAATGTGCATGGATTTTTATTTATTATGTGTGGCAATACTGCTGGAAATTCAACTCTATGGTACATTATCTACCAAAGTGCTACCAAACTACTAATAAAAATCATATTTTGAGAAAGCGTACCGCTTATCGTTCGTGCGTGTACTTTTTCAAGTATTGCGTTACTGTTAATTTATTGTTCTATATTACTACTTTAATTTATTAAAACATGTGTATGAACTCTTGAGTGAGTGGATTATTGAATTAGTGTTTTATTTTATCAAATTAGGCATCGCTATTCAAAATAAGTTTTCAAGTGATTAGTTGCGATCTAGCCATCCATGGCCTCCATTTTAGAATCCGTTCCGTAGTATACAGAAATAAATTAGATTTATCCTTACTTTATTTAGTGAATATACTTATATTAAATCGTGATTTTGACTCACAATTTAACAAATAATTGATCAACTTTTTACTTTAATTAATTTGTGATATTTCTCACATAATTGGATGAATATGAATTGTTCGGTAAAAAAGCTTTAGTTTTCAGAGATAATTTGTAAAAAACGTGAGCAAGATGGTGTCTACGAGGCAGATGAGTAGTGTGGTGGGAAGCAGTGGAAATAACGATGGTGCAGGTCCATCCCACGCGGAGCCTGTGGCTGTGTCACGCGTAACTCGACATTCAAGCGCTTTGCTCCCTGGCGGATCGTCACCGCACGCTTCATCTTCTAAATGCACAACCATCGTGCCAGTTCCAAAAGCGTATACTACGAATATGCTTGATCTTCCTATTGAAGTTATTGAAAAAATTTTTGGCTACTTGGGTTTCAAAACTGTGTCACATCTAAGAATGGTTAATATTAATTATGTTTATATTTTTTCTTATTTTTCAATCAATTTGCTGTCTTCCGTTTTAGTATATTTTCAATTTTCTTTAGACAGTTATTGCAATGTTTAAAAGTAAGATGTTAATTTTTACTTTACAATGAAACTACAAATTTTCGACATGGTTCCAAATAACTTCTATTAAAAACTTGTTTAACTATAAATATGTCTCTGACATGTATAATATATTTCAGTGATGCAATAAATATGAAAATTCATATTCATGTAACAGTAGTCATTTACTAAATATTTCTAAACTTTAATGAAAGTAATCTAGTTTCAAAAGATCATTTTTATTATTCAAACATAAATAATAAAGTTTGGCTGTGAATTAAATTTATGCAAATCATGTGATGGGTTAAAACAATAGATATTTTTTGAACATTCCTTATAGAAACCATCAGTGACTTAAATATTTAGTGGTAAATATATAGTTAAATAATTGTGCTTTTTAACAAAATATTGTTGGTTGTAAATGAAGTTGGTAGAATCTTGTAGTAGTAAATATTTAGCTTTCTGCCAGTGGTTTCAACTGGATGGTTCTTTATTATACATTAAAACCTTCCTCTTGAATCTTAGTATATTTATGAAAACTGCATCAGTGTATAGACAGTGAAAAGCTGCTTTGTTCTATACAATTTATATAAATACTTAAAGTAATATTCATTGCATCACTGACATTTTTAAGTATATATAATTAAATCACTGTTCAGAAGTAGACATATTTTTTTTGTAATATCTGTTATTATTTGAAGTAGTCTGCTAAACCTTTAGTGAAGTTCTATTTGGCACAAATGTGAGTGATGCACATACATTTGTACTTAAATGGTGGAAATGTATGTTAAGCATTTGTATTTGAGTCAGGGATGTTTGAAATTATACTGAGCTTATGTTTGATTCAATTGAATGACCATAGTTTATTGTGTGCAAAGTCAACTTTGTTATAAAAGTAATAAAAATGTGTTTCAATAATGAAATGTATTATACATTCATATACTGTACATAGACACATTCATGTACTGTATGTACCAACATTCATATACTGTAAATACATAGTTTACCTATACCATAGGGTACCATTTACAGTAATAGTACTATAAATGGTACAGATTCAACTAACCAATTGCACACTGCAACAAAAATGCCATAACTAAAAAATTACTCTAATTAAAAGTTTAACCTTTAGAAGAACTAACTTGAACTTGAACTAAAGAAGCAATTCTTTTAATATTTTGATTTAATCTGATTGTATTCAGGTGTATTCAGATTAAATGAAAATAGGTTTAAAGTATTTATTTCTCTCAATATATTACAAAAAGACAATATAATGCATATTACTGTATACTTTTGTATAAATAAGTTATTTATTGCAGGTGAATCGCCAGTTAAATACAATATGTAGTTCAATTTTGAATTCTACATTTCAACGATTACAAAATCAAATGTTGCATAGATTTCAATCCATCAAAGCAAAAATGCCACGCAGAGAAAGTGCTCGCCGAAGTCACCCACTTGCTTGTGAATCTGATATTATTGAAACTCTACATATGAGATTAACTTTGTTGCAAATGACTTTTGGAAAGCATATTGAAAGGAAACATTGCTGTTTTTTTCCAGGCGAGGTAAGACAATTTTGGTTTATCCATGAATAATATATATATTATAGATATAATTATACTGTTCAGTTTAATTATATATTTGCAAGAGTAGTTAAAACATTTTAAGTAATTACTTGAGATAAGTACATGAGAACATCTTATGGTAGTATGATCAGGAATCATATGCTACATAGTTTGATTAAGCTAAACTTATGTTGTCGAGAGTAATCAATTTTAATTTGTATAAAACCAAACTAATGTGAGAAAAGTATTCTTAGTAGTGGTATCTCTTAAAATGTGAGGCAGACTTGTTTGTCAAGTTTCAGGTTAATTTATTTTTTCATATTCTTTGGACTTATGTTTGTAATGACTTACAAAGTATATAGATAATTAAGTGTATTCATATTTTTAACTTATAGTACTAGTAGGTTACTAGTTACTATTTACACTTTAATATTAAAGAACTATAGTACCCCTGACTTTGTATCGAAATAACCTAACCTAACCATAATGGGTATGTCTTGGTAATAGCAAAAAGAATCATAAAAATAAAAACCTTCGAAATGCGAGTTGGACTCGCATACGAAGGGTTCTGTTCCATTATTTACAAAAAAAAAACGCAAAAAGTCACGTTTGTTGTATGGGTTCTCTTTTTACCCGACTGCGCGACGCAAGAGAGGGTAATGTGTTTATCAAAGAAAATCAAAAAACCCGACTGCGTTAAAACGAATTTAAAATTAACTTAAATAATAACTAAAAAGAAAGAAACAAACCCAGTAGTTTAGAATTCTGTTAAGTAATACTAAATAACTACACAATTGAAATAGTTTTATAATCAATACACACATAATTAGTATTTGTTGTTATAACGCAAAAGAAGAACATCGTTTGTGAAAGTTTCATCTATATAGGTAGTAGTATTGTATATGAGATACAACCTGGTTACAGGCAGACGGGCAGCAGTCTTAGGAATAAAGTTTACTTTTACCCATTTTTGTTATTTGAAACCTTAAGCACCAATTGCTTGCAGTAATCTCTCCCAGGCAACCAAAATCTAGAGAAAAACAATCGATAGGTAGAGAGGAAAGGTTAGCATGTGCAATAAAGTAATGTCAGAAGCCTTGAATAATATTATTAGCCTGACAGATTTACAATCGGTAATCAATTAAGTATGGTCTTGGTTGGGATGGGTGACCCGGTGACTCCGCTATGGCTTCCCGGACCTCATCTCCCCGCGTGATGGCACACTGTAGGATTTTTAGCTGGCAGGCCTTTGTGGATCCATTGAGCGAATACTCGCTGGATGACCCATAGAATTCCACTTAATCCTGTTATTCGCCAGACGACGAGGTATGCTTAAAGCATTTTCCCTACAATAAAAAAAAATATCATGGCAGAGCAATTGTGAATTGATAGTGATCCGTCAGCCTGACATTAATCAGGGGAACTGTTATACGATAGAGCCGTAAAGTAAATTGCGAAACAAGGCAGTATTTTCATTTGAAATAGATGAGTTTAGTCTTGATCGTTTGCCACACAAAATGTATAAACATTAGAACACAGTAATTTTTCTTTATATCAAATGTTAAGTGTGAGGTTCAACGGCAATAGCATAAAATTCATATAACGTAATTTATAGTTGGCCCCAAATATATCTACAAATTCTGTCATTCTTTATATGTAGGTTTTGCATTCATAATACAAGGTTGATATTAAAAATACTTATCATATTGAAATCCATTTCTGCACCAGGAACTAGTTATATTTTTAAGGATTTTAATTGACTCACGCTTTTTGAAACAATCCATTTAAACCACTTGTATAATTATATTTTTTTCCACTTATCACGTTTATATTGATAGTTACTGTATCTCTATGGTAGCAATTTATAATGGTTGTTGATCAGACATGTCGCTACTGGAACGTAACGGGTTTGGGATCGCCTAGCAGTGAAATATCACTGTCGTTCGTTTGAGGTTTGCTTTGAAAACATTCCTCTCTATTGTTAGATTTACTTTTATGTGGTGATAATCTCGAAGGGCCACCTTGATTAGAATGAAACCATTTAATATTTTTTTCAGATATTGGATGAAGTTTACAGTATTCTATCTTACCTAAAGACAACAACGAAATTGGCTAGACCTTATAAAGTTACTGATGAACTATTTGACTTGACAACAATGGCTATGGAATATTTCAAAGAACACATTGAACCTAATCTACCTGAGATTACATATTTTGGTACAGATTTCTTCGATATTACTACAGCGTTTTCTCGTAAGTGTTTCAGTATGTTGTATTTTATTTAGTAAATGTCATTAAATCATCATTTCAGCAGTAAGCTGACATTTAGTTTGACATTTTTCAAATTTTCAACAAGTTTATAGGAAATGACTGGCTTGAATACTCTTTGTATTATTATCATCTGATACATTTTTGAGATTTTATTTTATAAATATAGCAATAGAGAATAAGACTTATATTTTATAAGAAAATGTTTGGTTTTGTGAACTTGTGCATATTTTCAGCGGGTGAAAGCAGTAAGTCCTACATTTGCTTGGATTCACCGCCGCCGAGCGGATTCGAGCAGCAGCAGCAGGGTGCTTGTGCTATAGGGGATCGACGTGTGTCCTCTCTGAACATGTACATGGAGGAAAGTCTACCGCCATCTCCGCCTCCTCCGCAGAGCAACATGGTACTCAGGAAAAGGATACATCGGATTAAGCAAGGGATGAAAAAGTAAGAAATAATTTTATTTCATAACAGTAATTTAGGAAACCTGCCTTGAAATTCTTCTCAGTTCATCAATATAAATCTACTTACAACAGGTTGCTCTGAACTGTAACTAATTTTAGCTTGGTACCCTTAGCTATCCATAAATCTTATTAAAAAAAAAATATTTTGAAAAATAAACCACAGGATAATTAATGTTTATCCTATATATTTTTTCGCTTTAGTTTATATAGTTTGGTTTGTATAGTTATTTCCTGTTTTATTACAACCTGTTTAATAAACCTGTTTTATTTTACAGATACAATGACCAACTTTCAGCATTACGTAGTGATCTAAGGAGTTGTAAACGTAAGACAGCTTTGCAACAGAAACAAATAGCAGAGCAGCAGAAACAGATAGCTGAACAACAGAAACAGACTCTTGAGTATGCTAATCGGTTAGATGACTATGATAAAAAGAATGAGGAGACAAGCCGAAAATTTCAAACTCTATTACAGGTAAATTTTATGATCCAAAATTCCTAATATAATCTTTAATTTTTTAATTTATAACACCTACATACAATACCAGCCAAGAAATGTTACACTTAACCTTTGAAACAGAAATTATGTTTTGCCAGACTTTCCTAACAGGTTGACACCTGTGTTTTTTCAGTTAACATTAGTTTTCCCTGAAAATTAGGAGCATATGATATGTTTTTTGGCATCTAAAGCTTGTGTATAAATAATGGCATATCATGACAATTTCATTTTGAATAACTAATGAAATAAAAAAGATGGCTTTGTCAAGTAATTAGATACTTTTAGTATTTCTTTTTTAAATACAGTATATGATTTATTCCAATGATTTGTGATTGTATGCTGCAATTTTCAAGATATTTTTTTGGAAAAGCACTTCATTTGAGGAGTTCAAAAGGCATGAAATGTATATAATACTTTAGTAGAATATATAAGTCGAAGATATGAAAATTGTGAATTGTTTGTGCAGGAGTTGAATAAGTGTAAGACAGAGCTGCAGTACTGGCGGTCGCGATCACCGGCGGTGCCGCCGCTGTGCGCCGAGTGTGGAGCATCGCTGCGAGTATCGCCTGCCGCCTCACTCGCACAGGTCTGTCATTATTTACTCATACTATATCAGCCAATCACGTTACGATATATCACTTTTTTATTATTGTCTTTAAAAAATTGTATTGATATCTTATATTACGCAATACTTATTGTATTAAACTTTTGCAAGTATATTGTTCTCATATTTCCAAATATAAGAAACATACAGTCGGTCGATGAAACTACTATTGATCAAGTCCGTGTCCACAGTGGGCAGCCGGCAGCAGCGTGGAGGCGACGGAGGCGGAGGCAGTGGCGGTAGCTAGCGGCAGCGGCGCGGTCGCCCCCGATACTAATATCGAGTTGCATTCGCCCGCTACCGCGCTATCCCACAACAGCAAGCCGACCGCTACCACGGTGCCACATAACAACAAACCGGCCGTTACTGCGCTGCCTCCCAACAACAAACCCGAGACGGGTGACGAAGCCCCCGCACCGCCTGCACGCCGCCGTGCTTCCGACGATGCCCCCGCCTCCACCACCACCCCCGACCGCAAGAAACGTCGCTTCACTCGCCCCCGGAAACTTTGAGTGCGACCCCGTCAAGTCGCCCCCACATCTGATGTCGCTCAGCGAAAACGATTTTTACCTACGCGCTGCCCCATTCGGGTGAAGTAGGAAATATGCTTCTTTATCCAAATCTGCGTTTCTCCTCCTGTGAACCTGTGGAAAATTGTAATAATAAGTATGCATTTGTGGAAATTTCTAATAAAAGTAAATAACATTTGTGCAAAACTACATTGGTGAGATTTACTGCAACTCGAAGTGAGAGTGAATATACTAGTGGTAAACCCGCGTCATGCTATCGTGGTAGCACTTGCTATGTTTGTGACGCACGTTGCAGAGATTTTCTTGCAGGTTGAAATGCGGTCTAAAGACGAGTTTCCCCATTTATGCGTGTGTGGGTGTTGATGGAATTATTTCAGTCAGCTCGGCTCCACGATGGATGTTTCTAGAGCTTTCAGATCGCGATCTCTTCTTAAGAGAAGTTCGCCACTTCTTCAGTTTGGGGCGCCCGAGAAGGGTCTACCCGGGTCTACGGCGACAAATTGGTGAGCAAATATGCAACCTAAAGCAGGTAATCGCTTACGTTATTCGACATTCATATATAACCACTTGTCATAAAGAAATATTGTTTATCAAAAAGATTGCGGATACACAGCGCTCAATTCGCACAGATATCAGCGAACAATCCCGTTCGCTGATCCCGAAGCGTGCAATTATGATCCATTCCTATGCAACGCGTTCTGCATGTACCATGGAGAATTATGTTATACAACAAAGAGAATCACTGCGTTATGTGACATAGAGAATTTGTGTAATATGACGCAGATCTCTATCAGCATACAAAGGTATGTTAACCTGTTAAAATGAAATTGGTATATTATAAAACAATCAGACTGTTTCGCGTTATAATTTATATTACGAAACAGGCTGATGCTTTTATTAGGACATTTTCACATCTTACACTATGGGAAGTGTCTCATAAGTTTAATTTCAAATTGGAATTCTATTGCATACATGTTTCATTCAAAATATCAGTCAAATTATAGGCCCTTAAAATACCATGCCTTATTGTTAAAAAAATTATTGCTCTTTTTATTGTGATCATGAATATGTGCAACTGTATAAAGTAATAATCGGATCAGGATACTGCTAATGCAATGTGTTTCTTACAATTGCATTGTTTTAGAAACTAACGAGTTGGGAGTCTGTGAAATATTTGTTTTTTTTTTAAACAAACTGTATGAACTCAACTAATACGCTACAATATTTTACAGTCGAACTATGTTTGTAAGTTACACTAATGTACCTGCTCAGTGTTTTTTCAATAGATCAAGAAGTCAGAATAAATTTAGTGCTCGTGAACTATGCTACGAGTGGGATAAACAAAATTAAATGTAACGCATCAGTCTATATTTCAAGGGTGTTGGTACTCGTATTCCGTCGGGTTTTATCTTGTTCTCTTCTGTGCAGACGAATTTTGCTGATTCTACAAAAAAATACTGTATATACAATGCACAGCACTATGATAAAAATTTGTAGTGTATTAGCTTATTATAAATATTTCAATTCAAAATATTAAACCTCATTAGAATGGTTTGTGAAGAGTAAAGGGTACGCCGTGCAATGTTTAGGCAAATAATATTCTGACTGGGTCTATTTTTTTTACTGTTACGAAGTAGTTTTTTGTACGTCGTTTCTCCGTGTTCTTGGAATATCCCAATGATTGGCATTATGCTACATAAATTTGTTAAAAACACTATGTAATAAAATTATAACAAAGATTTATTGTTTCCTTCTATTTAAGAGAAAACAATAGTATTTTGTTCAATATCACTGAATTGTCTCGAATATAATAAAAATAACATAAGTGTTATCAACCATTAATAATTTAATGATTCTCTTTATATGTTTTGTATGTATGGATTAAGCATTTAATAGCTCTAATTATGCAAATGCGTTAGCATAGCGAATTAGAACAGAATTTTACACAAAGGATAGTACTTTAAAACCTTATAATATTTAATACCTTTCATAATATTTTATTTCATAAGAAAAGATTGGTGTGTCTTACAGTTCATTTACAAAACTAATTATTTAAAACAATAATTACTTCTCGATATCTAGCACATAAATCGTGCAATGAACTATACTAAATGTATAATTAAATGTCTAAAATTTTTAGCATTCACTGACATTCAAAGTGTAAGACTTTTGGGAATCTCTGTGCAATTCAACAGCATTTGCCAGTCACTTTATCAAATGACCACTGTTGATTCATTTACTAATTGTTCCTTTGGTTCAAAATTCATTATAATAGACATTCAAGATGGTAGTAACCTTGCACAAGGTCTAAGAATGTTTATTGCATCATACAGCTTGAGTTCACTAAAATTATTATAAACACAAATTTTAAATAATGTAAGGTTGATTTGAATATCTATCTTTTATTGAAGTTGCTAAAAAAATATACTCACAAAAATGCATGTACCAACAAAATACCAATTGTTGTTATTGGTTTTTTAAATAGAAAGATGCTTCGATTGATTATATAACATTCTATTAAGGGTAAATAACCAGTAAAAATATATCATACATTAATTTTCTGTACACTTCTTGAAGTTTACAGAGGACAATCAAGATTTGTAATGCCCTTTTATTTATTTCATTTAAAGTTTAATAGTTTTATAGTTCCAAAATTATTCTTAAAATTCTTACGCTTCGGAGTATAATATGTTATGATTTAAAAGAAATAAAAAGATCATTTTCTATGAATTATAATCAAATCACTACACTGATTAATTTATATGATTTGAAATTATAAAGTCTTTAATGTGTGTGATTCATATTATGAAAAATTGTATCTTTTATTTTAAATTGGTTGTAGTCTGTGGCGAGATCCTTATTAAGGTGCTCTCATTTCTGGAGCATTTCATGTAATGTAGCACAGAGTAGCATTATATTGGTGAAGAAAAACAACCAAGCACACATTGCAGAGTTTAATAACCTTTAACTCATGAAGGCATTACATTGTACAGTTGTGTTGGAAATCAAACTTGTTAGATTACAGGTGAATTTTCCTTCTCAAGGAGTTCCTTTATAGAACCTGAAAAATGTCGGATAGTTATTACACAAATAAAATAGCCTACTCTGTTAGGCTTTCTATCCTATTTTAACAATTATAAAGTCAGTATTGCTTGCCCAAAGACCGAATTATTTACCTATCTTAAATTTACGGAAGTGCTAGTTAGTTTTATTTGTATGAATTGATTATGGTCGAAATTTTTTAACTGATATTGCAGGACAAAACAAATTAAGAGTGAATTTCCTTCATAATTATGTCTTCTAAGGAAACTCTGAAGAATGGTATATTTTTGGTTTTTTTGTCATCTAAGTAAATTCACTATAACCAATGGTACTTGAAAATTCGGAGATTTTACATGGGCTAAGATTCTGTATACACTTGTTCAGGGCAGTATTTATATACCAAATGGCTAGCTTTTTTATGACGATGAGAACTTATAATATATTGTATATAAAATAATTATGTTTGTTACAGCATTATGTCCCTTAAAGTAAAATATATATATATATATATATATATATATACATACACATACACAAACCGCGTCTAAAAGAAATGCATTTTTTAAAGTTAATCGACATTTTCTTAGTTATGTAATTAAATTTTTTCTATATTTATTTTGTAAAACACACTGATGCTCTTTATTTATTTGCGCAAAATAATCAAAAGATATAAAAGAACTTGCACCCAATTTGGGTTAATTTTATTGAAAATGAAAGATGGTAGATAAAATAATAAAGGTTTTAATTACTTAAAGGCGCATATTAGTTGGTTGATTGGGGCCACATGCGGTGTGCGGCAGATTTCTATGGGCTCATTTGATTGGTCCTCAAAACAATGACCACCTAATGAAAATTTAGCCACAGAAACTCGTCGCACCTCCCATGCACAGCCTTATCCACCAACAAAAGTATGCCGAGAGTATGTAATCAAGTTTTGTAAAAGCCGACATCAGATTTATTACAACAGTAATAATTTTGAGTTTATTATTTAAAAACAAAATGAGTATTTATTATATTCAGAGTTATAAAATATTGTTAAATAATTCCTGGTTAGTTGTTCTGAAATATTCCCATTTACAAGGAAAGTGCTCTTAAAATTCTTCAAAAATATCGTATTTTTATGTTGTCGGTCTCTGCCACTTTTTATGATTTGATTTAAAAATTATAAGCAGGATATAATTTAATAATTATAACTTAAAAGTTAAATGTTTATATTAGTTTTTGTGATAGTGGATTAGGTATAACGATGAAAATTCTAAAACATGAATATCGTTAATTTAGTTCTTCATTATTATAGTTTTAAATAATTAGATAACTATTGTGAATAGAGGTGAAGGTTGAAATGTTGTGTTAATTTGTAAATAGTTTAAAAGAAAAAATCACACGTGTAATGTACAAATGAATATATTTATGATTATATACAACCGTGTAAATTAAATATTTTTGCGACATGGTGTATAGATAAGCGACAGTAGTTGCGGCAAATAGTTATTTTCCATACATTACGTGTTTTATGAGATGTGCTCACAGGGCTTCACACAGTTCTTGCATCATGTCACGAAACGACTTGGAACATATCAACCAAATCAACGAGTCATCCCTATCTGGTTACCTTAGTAATCTTAATTAATTGCGCACAATCACTTTTGTACATACACATGCCAATGTCTCCAATTCAAAAATTATTACGTGTATTATTTTCTTTCAATGTAACATTTTATTTTTGGATTTCATTCACCTTTAATTGTAAATATCCGAACTACAGTCTGTTGTCCGTTGAGAGCGATGTCCCGATCCTAGCTCGATAATCGAGATGATGTTTTAATTTGTTTGGGTCTTAATTATATATTGAGACTATAGTTCTCACTTATTTGGACAATAAGAATTGCTAGTTACCAATTATAATTATCTACCAAGCCCGCCACAGTAGGAACATGCATCAGATTTTGCCTTATCGTGAATGCTTTAATAAATATTTTCACAAAGTACCTAAACGCCAAGGGATAAAATAAGTTACTATTACGCAGTGTTTCATAGTACATATAGTAAGTAAAATGCTCATGCGTGTTAACGTACGAACGAACGTGTAAAGCAGAGAACTTGTTTGATATCTT